ATCTAACAATTTCTATACTCAGGACTAAAATTTCTGTCCACAAGCCAACAACAGAAAACAAAAATATTAAACATCTCTGTACCTTCTTGTGACCTGTGCTAGAAAAATATAAATGAAGAGATGATCTAATAAGGTTGTGATATTTTCTTGCATTCACAGTCTAAAACAAAACCTAATATTAATTGTCATAAGTATCTTTGTGCTAATTTCTCATTTTCTTTCAATTGACAGGCTCTGTTGTCTTATAATGTTAATTCATTTTGACAATACAGACAGGATATCTTCATAAAAAAACAGATCTTAACAAGACTTTCTGTTGACCTTTACCACATAACTAGGTTATTTTCATAATTTACCTGGATTACATCACTTCAGCTGTAGCCACAGTACTTTAGAAAAAAATTCAACTAAAACCAAATGGGCCAATTAAAAAAGTAATCTCAGATTTAAGATGTTACTTGATCAGATGTTTCGAGTTTTAAATTACTAAGTTTATTATGGTTTACTTGTCTTAACATTATTCAGTATTGCTGTGCATGCTTTTACTAACACAACTGCTAATAAATCATTATGAAAGAAGAAAAAGTATTATTTGGTATTAAGCCAGATTCCTTTTTTTAATCCATTTGTCTTTCTTCCTTGGAGTTGTTTAACCACAGGTTTGGCTCTAGCAACATATAAGTACCTAAACTTTAAATAACAGCTCTTGTCCAAGCTATTGCACTCATCTATTAGATCTCTTGCATTTTCCTTATTCTTACATAGAAAACAAATATATTAAGCCTGGTTCTTAATTGTCTACTCTGTGAGTAATCATTATGCCCTTGCAAGAACAATACAACATGAAAGGAAAAAAAAATCTGATTGGTAACACAATGGATTTGTTTTGAACTCACCACAATAATTACACAAGGTGATGAGTGATGAAGAATCCAGCTCATTATTGCTAAGAAGCACCTATCTTTTAGCTAGTATTGCATATCATAGATATAAAGGCCTTGGTTTATTACAGTGATTATTATTAGTCCAGTTGCCAATCCAAAGATCATATTTGATTGTCCCATGTGCAGCAGAATACTAATCTATTTCCCTTCTTCATTCTTCCTCTATGCTTGTATAGACAGGTACATTAATCTATTCTGCCAAGAACGATCTTTTTATCTATGCAGAACTGAAATGATTCTTCCTTCTTATCAGCATCTTCCTATAGGCAGAAGATAAACCAAAAATGTTTTCTCACCCCATGTTTTTGTCAGTTCTCTGCTTGGAGGGTGATCAGATCATTTTTAATTGCATACTGAGCAACAAATATCTGACGTTTGTGTTTGAGTGACTAAGAACTGAATTTTGTTGACAATATTAATACGTTCTTCTGTTTAATGTCTATCAATTTTTAGAAGTTTAATCAGATTAACACTTTGCTGAGGACTCACAGGAATACCTCATACTGACAATAATCAACGTTTGTCATTCACCAGATAACACCAAGCTAAATTCCTTCACCCGAAATATTCTGCATGCATCACATCCCAGGGTATCCTGGGCAGGAAAGTAGCAGTGCAAACAGACCCAGTTCTTAGCAAAGAGGTTTCAAAAGACAGGATGATCCAACCAAACAGCTTGCTGGCAAGAAAAAAGGGCAGTCCCACTCATCCCCTTCCCTTTCCTCAGGCAATGCTCTTATCTCCTGTCAAACAGACCAAGCACAGTGAAATGGCCAAATGAATCATCTTCTGGGGGCCTAGTGACCTCGCAGGAGGAATTTCACCATCTTCTCTTTGGAAGGCAGGATCAAGTCTGTACGGGCACTCTGAAGTCATTTATCTGTGGGAGGAAAATCTAAACTTATATGATCTTCAGCTTGGATGGAAGCACAGGTTTTCATGCAAAATTTTCATGAAATTTGAAGCAGTGTAAAATTTTCTTTTAACAGTATTTGGCTGTTTGATTAATATTTGAGATTTACCAAGGGCTCTAACTAAAATAGAGAAAAATGAATTAAGAGGATCTCATCTGCTTCAGTCAGATCCATGTATCAGCGTGATGAGAAGATGCAAAGTGTGACCTAAGTGCATTTTTGGGTGACAAGTTAAAGCCAAGTTCTGACCACTTTGCTCATTAAAGATCCCACTGCAGTAATTATATCTGTAAAGTGTGTTAACTCTGATGGCCTGGCCAGATGCCATCTTCAAAATTGCATTCTCCCATCTTTGTTTCAAGTGGACAGTATAGTTTTCATGTCCTCTCCAAAACAGCTCTCTTATTCTCGCCTGCTAAATCCTTCCTGTGTTTCACCACAAAGTTTCAGTACTGTAATAGATTAAAAAATCATTATATGGTTTCTGTATCAACTTGTAAAGCAAGGGAATATTTCATGAGATGAAAGGCAGTATAAAAATGTAAACTACTAATAGTCTTGGGCCTGCTCACTGCAATACAAAATTTGGCCAGTGGCAAAAAGTAGTCATCTGAGGGAGAGTTGAGTGGCTCCATTACCCATTGATGTGCAACATTTCTCTCAGCATGATCAGTGTCATGAATGCATAAATTTGACCTAAAAATCAAATCTTTATGTACATCATGGTACTGGCTCAGCTTTCTTTTTTAGGTCAGATTCCCGTCAGATTTATGCTGCAAGCAGTTACAAGTTCTGCTTGAGTGACACTTGTATTAAAAACAAAAAAAGGTAGACAAGGTAGTATTTGGGCTTTATGTATGTGCTTGGTTACCTGTGTGGGCTCAATGCAGGAGACTAATTTCATAAAGGACAAAACCGAGATCTGTGTTAAAGTTCTCCCCTGTCTGATGCTAACACTGGGTGTTTAGAGAGAGAACATAAGAGGAGGGTACACCTGTAGCAGTATTTCTGGATCTCCCCAGATTCTCCCTCTACCAGGCTGTAGACAAAGAAACAATACACAGGATTGTGGCATCAAGAGATGATATACAGATGTAGCTGACACTGAAAATGCAATTTGCATAATATGGTAATGTATGCATTATAGTTCCAACTACATACATGATCAAAGCATCCATTTTAAATGATAATGCAAATTAATTTTAGGCTCATTATTATTAATTGAACCTGAATAGAAATCAGATTCTGTAAAAATAGAATAAAGAAACAAACTGAAACTATTTAGGGAAACAGACATTAATGTGATTGTTCTCTCTCTCTTACAGTTAGGAACATGCTCCTTCTGCCTGTGTTGCTCCTTCTTCCTTCTCTGGTATGATTCAGACAGAAATTCTCCTTTATTCTGCAGTTCATTCTCTTGGTTTCTCTTTTGATGTTCATGTCACTCAGCACACTTTCTTAAATATATTATTAAGGTCTGCATGGTCTAATAGGTTGCCATTATCCTAAGCTTTGTTCATTCCTTTTCCAAATTAAATCAAGTTTGGGCTTGAATAATGTTGATAGGGACATTTACGTAAACTAAGTTGGTTACTCCAGTAATGGGGTTGTTTTTGTCAATTAATGGGTCATTTGTTTTTAAAAACAGAACACCAGCATGTTCCTGATGTTCCTGCCCCTTCTAATAACTCTGTAATGGTTTTGTCCTATTGTAATGGTTTCTAGTTTCTGCAGTGCCTGGAGATAAGAGAAGGATAAAACTCTAGGATCTAGCCATTACTTAGTACTGAAGTTCCTGTCCTAAAGTGGGTTAAAAATTATTTGATGGAGTAATGTAATTAAATCCTGATTTTTTGCTAAATATTTGCATCTGATGAGGCGACTTTTTTTTTCCTAGACAGTACTAGAATGTGATCTTCAGTGACTACAAAATTATTCAGCATTGATAGCTCTCAACTATAAGAAGTGGTTAGTTTCCTGAGAATTAAAGCCACCATTAAGATATGAGCATCTTTTTTTCTCTCTGTGAATATTTGAACTTAAAAATACTTTCATGCATTGGGCAAAGAGTGCATGCAGTTGTAGATGCAAAACAATATTAAATTTCTTCCTAAATTAGGAAGCTAAAGAGAACAGATAAAGTTTGTGATCTCATTTCTAGGAACATTTGTCTGTCTCTCCTTAGTAAGATCTTAACAAATTCACTTTGGCATTTTAAAGGAAATGCCATTTTAAGTAATAATTAATCTTATTCATTTTCTTACTGTTATTATTTTCTTTATTATAGTTCTTGTGGTTTATTTATGTGTGGCATTGTAAGTAATGTTAACAAAACAGCATCTTTTTTTTTTTTAATGGTTCATAGTATAGTGATACTTATAAATTCAGTGACATTGCACAGAGCTTATTATCTTTATATCATGGCATGTATTACTTCATACCCAATCACTTTCCTAAAATAATTCTAGAAAATGGCCTGAGCACTGTTGCATTTATTTCGCAGTGGCTACCTTTGAACCAAAAGGGCCAATACAAATGTAATATATTGTATATATTTATATATATAAAGAGAGAGAGAGAGTGTGTATGTGTATATGTATATAAATATATGTATATATCCCCTTATCCATTATTGCCTACATCACCTACAGAGAGCAAAGGTAGAGTGAAAACTGGATGGCTAAAAGGAGGTATTTTGTCCTGTCCCTTGAAGGCTACTCACACTTTTACCCTGCTGTATTTCAGATGTTCTCACCCTGTCTTCAAGAGAAGATACATGCAAGGGAAAGCTGAAATACTTTCCCAACATACCAAATATTTTGCTGGGGAAATCCTGGTTACTAAATGTGTCCGCAGAATGTGCAGACACTAGCAGCAGTAGAGCATGCACAAAAGATTGGCTTTGTCTCCTTTATTCATGATAAATTCATATTTTACTTCATGTGCACATACTGAAGTCAGCAGGGCTCTAAGCAGAGTATGCAGACACTGATTTTGAATCCTGGACCAGAATCTCTCACTCTTCCCAAATTCCACATTTTTCAGAAATGCTGGTCATCATTTCAACAGCTCTAAAACTGGATGTTGCAGGTGTCTCGCATTGACAGCTGCAATTTTACTGATGCTGTGCAGCACAGGATGTCCACTCTCATTATGTTTCAAGACACAGGAAATGCAACTTAGTATATGAATTCATAAGAAGGAAGGAGCCTTTTAAAGTTCAAGGTAAGTGCCATGATTTTTAAGTTGCTGGAGGAGGATTTTGAAACTTTCTTTTCATTTTGAATATTTCCTACAGGGTTCAAGAAGCCTGTTGACACCAGTACATGCTGGTATATAAAAATAAATTACAGATTTTAATACTTACATGTGCTGGCTTCCAACCCTCCAAAAGCCTGCACTGAGGTTCACAAATGGGAAGTGAAGAACTGCCAGGCACTTGGATCCTTATTGTGAAGACTGACTGAAGAGAAGCATGCAAAACACAAGAAGCATGCAACTACACAAATGATAAACAAAATAAAAATATGTTGAGAAAGATGCATGTGTTCACTGCACTCAAAATTAGTCTGTTGCATTGTTTCCTGAGGCCATAATTTGCATCAGATGTTCAGGAGGATTCAAAATCTGACAAAATATTAATGTGGACAACAGGAAACTCCCAAAGTCTAAACTCAGGGTTTCTAGAAATCTTACTGGACAGGTTATACCCCTATATAGGAAGGCATAAGGCAATTCCTTATTGTCAACAGCAAGAAGGAGAATTTTCCTAAGAATATATGTTTATTTCTTCCTCAGTTCCTTACACTTTCTCTAAACTTCTGCTCACTATTGGTATGATCTCCTGTGGTCTGATCCAACGTGGTCATTCCTACAGCTCTAATCAGGATGGATGTTCAATAAATAAATAAGTCTTGTGACATGCAGAGAAGGAGGAAAGGAACTAAGCATTGCAGGCCAAGGTCAGAAATTCCCTATGAGTTGTCTTCCAGATTATTCACTGTATTTCCTATTTTCACCTGGCTTACTCTTGCAGATTTTGGCTTGCCTGATGCCTTTCTGTTTCACGGGATTTTTTTTTCCAGATATTGACAATAGGTGTTTTGCTTGGATGACAAGCATGACAAACTGTAAAATCATGTTCTAGGCATTCTGGTACACGCTCATATCCTGGTATGATCTCATTTTAAGGAATGTGATTGTGATTTCCAGCATTGCAAACTGAAATCAGGATTTGGTTATATCTGCCATATACCATGTGAAGTACTGTCTCTCTGAATTTCAACTCATGTTAATACATCTTCATGGCCAATGCTGGGAAACATCATCAGTTACTGTGGCTGTTTATGGAGCACAAGAAAAGAATATTTAATTTTACCATCCTCTAAGGACAGCAAAGCTGAATTTGAACTCTAGTTAAAGTTTTGCTGATTACTCCTGACCTTTCTGGGACAAAGACATGAAGGTCACTGGAGTCATGACTTTTTTCACATTCTACTTGTCTTTGTCATTCCCCTAATAATGCGGAGGACTAGAAACAAGAGCTGGGTGGTGTTTTTTTCTCCCTGCCTGGAAATCTATTTAGATTAGTCACCAGGTTTTCCAGTCTACGGTCATTGAAGGTCATTTGGTTTACAGCTGAAATTCTCAATTGGAACCTCATCTTGTAATCAGAACTTAAAACCCAAGTGAGGTTTTGTATCTCCTTTGAAAGGGTAGGTTGTTGTGTGATTAGCTTCAGAATGTTAAATGGACTGTCTGTGTAATGATAGGTAATTTTGGGGGGCTTAAATTGCTCTGTGAGAAGACCTGTCTTGAATAATAATACTGGGTTATATCATAAGGAGCAGTATTCTAGGCTTCTCCTAAATGCTAATTCTATTAACATTAACATTTCCTTGGCTGCAAAATGGCAAAAGGCAGGCCAGCAAGATGTAAAAATCTTGCAAAGTGCATTTTCACTTATGGACTGTTCCTAAGAGCAGGCCGTTTCCTGAAAACGTCCCTTAAATAAGCATCCACTTACAGTGGTCATCATCATACAGTCAGCATCTGCTAATAGCTGTTCCACAGCCTCTGTGGCTGGCAAACACAGAGTATTTGTTGTAATCTATAGTGATGGAAATGCCTGTGTAATTTTTGCACTGTTTTTTTAAAAACTATTCTTGGTTCTAAGTACGAAGCATCAGTCACACAATGGAGATGTACTCCTAGGGGCTGTTCACAAAGCCTGGTGTCCTGTACATTCTTTGGTTCTGTAACACTACTGATGAGAATCTGAAAGCCCTATTAATTTTTTTTGTTGATTGATTATTTCAATGTCTCTTTGGTCCCTGTGCAACTCAAACACAAATACTTACATTTACATGTATGTCTGTGTATATATATTACTAGTTAAAACCGAAGGTTCCTTAAAGGAAAGAATCCACCCCTGCCATGATATTGTTATTGAGGATAGTATTTATCTTTGTTAGGGGAACCAAGTTTTTTCACCAACATCTCCCAATATACAAGTTGACCTTTGATTTCTTGATAGTAATTGCACTTAAGGTGCACCCATAGATGGCTTCAGCATGTTCCACCTCCCTGTTTTCCCCAGTTGCTGCCTCCCTTTCTGTGTTTCCATTTGACCTCCATGCATGGACACAAGCAGGAGGTTATCCTGCACAGGGAAGGGTATCAGACACTGTCCTGTGCAGAGACAGCTTGAGGAGTGTCTCCAGGTGGATATCACCCCAGAGTCCCCCAGCATCACACCATGACCTGTGATGTCAGCTCGTTGCTTGTTCCAGCAGGTATTATTGTCACTCTTACTGGCAAGCTGGGCATTTCCAGAACATTTCTGTGGGCAGATGGTGTGTCCCCATCTTGGCTCCATTCTTAAGGAGTCTGAATCATCACCCTTTGGACACACCTTGAGTCGCCTCTGGATTTGCAGGAGCCAACATCATCCAGCTCTTAATCTCTTCTCCAGAAGCACTAAACTCTAATGCCAGATTACCTTTTTCCTTTATCTTCTTTAGCCACTCTACAAACAGAGCTTCTTTTAAGTGATTACTTTTATGTATTCACTTTAGAGGGATTAAAAAAAGTTCCATGGATGACAGAGTAGTTCATTCCAATAGATTCCAGCTCCGCAAGGCCACCAACTTCCCAGAGTTTGCAGACACCACAAACATAAATGCACTCCTACTCTCCATGGTTTTTAATATACAGGGATCCAAATTATGCTGCTGTTGCTTCACCTCTCTCTGATGCAAAAATGATGGGAAAGTGAATATCTAGAAAAAAACCCAGCCACCTAAGGAGTTAATACTGTTCACAGCTACCTGTGGTTTTCAGTTGTCATTAGCCAAACAAGACCCTAACTGCTTTGGAGAACAAAAGGCAGCAAAGCCATTAAACAATTTTCTTCTACTGAAATTAATTTCATGAGTCAGATACATCCCAGGGATCTGGGCCTACATTTCTAGAACAGGTTATTTTGCAGAGGCCAGGCTGACTTTTCCAGCTAGCTTCCTTTCTTCACAGCTGAGATCTCAAAAGAAATAAAAATCAGTTTAACTCATGTTAAAAGGGCACCTTTTAACTCTGTGTAACCAGATCCATCAGCCTCCTGCCTCTCTTAGGCTGGCAACCAAATACCAGCATGGTGGAGAATACATTTACTTTTTGATGAAGTACAGACCTTAAAAAGCTAAGCTGGATACAAGGTCCATGACAAGCAAGGTCTTTTGCAGACAGAAACATGCAGCTGCAGGAAGGGCCTGCTTACAATGAATTGCAGAAAGGTTATGGTTTGAGATATTTTACTTTTTAATAGGCCATGGAGTTTCTTGGATCTATGTGGACACTACAGTGGCTCCAGGGGTCACGTCTCCAGCAATAGTGTAGGTAGCTGTGTGCTCCCTTCTAGCACACGATTTAGTTGATGCTCCTGAACCTAATGAATTTTGGCAGCAGGAATGATAATAGCAGGCAATTGTTTGTCTCCAGTCCTTAAATTTTGTTAGAGAGTTAAAATAAACCTGTCTCCTTGACTAGTCTCCTGTGCAACAAAACAAAAATAAGCCTTCACAAAGAATCATTTTCAAGCGCCATTTTACTTTTTGTCTTAGGCTCGCAAATGCATTTCATGTTTTCTGATATGTCAGATATCATAATGCAAAATAAATAACCAAGAGAAACACACAGACATATTCTCTGGGTGGCTTCTGATGTAGAAAAAAGAGCCTTCTGCTGCTTCCCTTACCTCCTTCCTAGTCTCTTTTTTGGGGTTTTTTGGGGGGTTTTTTTTGGGGTTTTTTTGTTGTTTTTAATCTTTCTAAGGCTTGTAATAGATGCTTTGTAGCACGGGCATGAAGCACTAGTGCTATTTTAATACTGTACTGTTTTGCAGCATTTTGGAGCCCAGTCACAGCTCAGGACCCCCTGTGAGTTAGACATTGTGCAGACAGAGCAAAGTCAGCCCTGGCTGTGAGGACAGCCCATCCCAGCCCGCACCTCCCACGGCCACAGGAGACTCACATTGCAAACGTTGATGCATTCAACACATCTGCCACACATGCAGATCATAGAGACAGGGACATAGCCTGAGACACTGGGGGGTTGGCAGCAGTGCCTGTTGGTTGCTAAATGTATCATTCAAAATGAATCATTTAAAAAATAAAAAAAGCTTAAAGATGGTGTTTGCCATGTGAATGCCGCTTTGGAGGATCATGGGAATGCAGCAGGACTTTTTAGGTCAAACATTTAAAAGTCTCCCAAGTCATATAGGAAGTCACAGCCTTAATTTCAGAAGTGAATTGGAATTTAATTTCAAGGAACAAAGAACTTGGGATACTTTTTGCAAGGAGGGATAGGTTCCCATTTCACTTTTCAAAATATTACTTCTTCTGTTTAGAAAAAATGTTCCCACAAACAGACCCATTTCTGACACTCCAGAACAGACAGGAAACAGCAATAACTCTCTACTGATTAGACCAGCACAGTGCTTGCCCACTAACAATAGCCAGAGAAGAAAAATCCCTCTTATGGTCCTGCAACAGGACCTTTTTATCTTTGTCAGTAAGGAAATCATAACGAAATTTTACTGGAGCCAAACTAAACTAAAAGCTAAAATCTTGCCCCTCCTCTGGTCCCTATCTCTAGCATTGTTGCTTGACTTTACATTGAAGCCATCAAATAAAACTTCAAAATGGCATAGGACCAGTAATCTACCATTTAGCATCAGCATTTTTTCCATAAAAGCAAATCTGCTTCTGCTAGAAACAGCTACAGGCACTTGACTCATTAAATTTTTGCTTCAATGATTTTTTTTTTTTTGATCAAAATAAAATGTTATTTCTAAGTTACCCCCCAAAAAAATCTATTAAAGCTCTTCCTAAAAACAAAGGAGATTTTCTAGCTTTTAAAAAGGCTGTTATTTCCTTTTTTAATGTAGTTATTTGGGCAATTAAATATATTCAGAAAAAAAAGTTCTCCTAGAAAACTCATCGTTTTGTCCCTGATAATAATAATAACAGAATGGAGTAATTCATTCTAGAAAGATAAATAA